GCTCGGTGCATGCATGCTACCAGGAGCACTGTTTTCCTTTTTTCTACGGCTGGGGCTGTAGAAGTTTCCACAAAGCCCCAGCTACATCTACAATAGTTAGGTGGCACACTACAATTATGTAGGTGCCTTGGAGTTGAGACTGCATGGCAGCTTGTTTAAGCGTTCTCCTCGTACGAAGGCTTTGGCTTCTTTCCGGGATTGCGGCTATTTGCTAGGAGCAGGGCGCTCAGGCAATCCTGCTGATTTTTCTTCGCGTTTGAAAAGTATCAGACGATGCAGAGTGTGCCGGCCTGCTTGGGGCTCGCGAACAGGAGTCACAAGCACGGCAGCTCAGGGACGTGGGCGGCAAACGATGCTAAACCACCTGGCCCTCAAGCTCGACGAGACTGAGGCCCAAAGCCCTCCTCGAGCCCTAAGAACCCTAACTACGATCCTCTACGCAGGACGTCCCTCAGGAATGGGCCCTTAGAAAACCCAGAGGTTTTCGTCTGTCACGCTTTGGACTCTGAGACACAACAGCAGCACGCTTTACTGCGGGGTCTTTGACTTCGAGTTGAGTTGGACTCTCGGGCGTGGCGAACGGAGCCTCGTGCTTCCAAAATTCCGATGACTTGGCTTATGTTTTGAGTGCTTCGAGTGCTGCCACGCTATATAGCTGTAGGAGTCAGGAGAACACAGTGTAAGTGTCTTGAAGGTGTAGGGTCTAGATTGCGGCCCCAGTCGCGTTCAGCACATGTGCGTACTTGTCCAACACAGCAAGTCTTGACCTCCGCAAGTCAACAATGCATCGCTCTCTCGGACTGTGGTGATGCACACCGTGCTTATGACTGTGTCAATGCAGCAAGCAGCCGTACCCTTTGCTATCACTTGTGCTGTCCCTGTCATTCTTCTGCTTGGTACTGGCAGAGACGTGAACATGCAGCTCATGGCAATAATGATGGAGTGTACGGCATTTGCAGAAGCAGCAGCAGCAGCAGCAGCAGCAGCAATCGCCGTCGTCGTAGTGGGCGCGGTCGTGGATGTGGTAACAGCAGGGAGACGCAGCCAGCGGTAGCAGAGGCAGCGGCGGTAGCAAAGGCAGTCATGGTTGCGGCAGTCGTGGTCGTAATCCTCGTTTGTTGTCGTCGTGGGGGCAGCAGCAGCGGTCGTGTTATTCGTTTCAACACTACAGCAAGAAAAAGTGCGCTGGATTCACAAGCAAAGGCCGTCTTGGTCCGGTGGTTAAGCGGCGATCACCCTGACGTGCTGCTTCGCAGGGATGGCTCAGGGCGCAAACCTTGAATTCCTCCAGAATCTGTGCTCGCGAAGGTACAGCGAAGGCGCACGTCCTCCGCTACAACGGATGTTGCCTTGAGTGGCAACGACGCTTCGGAAGGTGGACAGGTAAAGACACATGATGGTACCCTAAAGGCTGTTTCTGCTTTCTGCGGTTCCCGTAGGTCTTCCATCTATCTGTTCCCCACTTGACTCGGGGGCATCCGGCCAGCATGCCCACATGGCAGCATCAGACTCGCTAGTAAGGCGAGGGTTTGGTGCACTTTACAGACTCTACCTAGAGAGGCTTCGCAAAAAGGAACTGCTCCTGGGCTACCTTGTCGAGGTCAGGCTGAAACTTTCTAAAGCAAGGCGCACTCGAGACAACACGAGTCGAATCTTAGTCTTCGTGGCCACAACGAGAAACTCTAAAAGCCGTCCTTCAGCACTAAGTAGGAGTCGCCATACTGCCTGGCAAAGGGACACCGAGAGACTTTCACTCGAAACACGCAAGGCTGACTTTTTCGTTTGCAAGCTTCAAAGGGTTCAGCGTTTGTGGCTTCAGGGCACAACGGCCAAAAAGCTCCAAACTACAAAAACTTCACTTTGCAAAATCTTTCAATTCTGGAAGTCTTCATGGACTGACGGGTTGGGAGTTCGAGGGCTAAAGCTTCAAGGCTACGTACGAATAGAAGGACTATGAAGGACTTAACGACTGAAAGCTTGAAAGACCTTCATCCTTTCCGTATTCTCCTTCATTCACGCGGGAACTGTGTCGTAGTTAACATTCACGACGCTGGTCGTGTGATGAGCGTGGATTGTATTCAGAGGCTTAGGGCTTCCTTTACAGCTTGTGTATCGGGATCGAGATGGGGCATGCTCAGTTCGAAAACTGCCGGAGGCTCTTCTGCAAACTCAGAGGCAGGATCGGTTGCCAAAGCGCTGAGACATGATTTTCCGCAGCTGCCGATCGAACTGCGCCGCAGTCTTGTGCAGCACCAGGGCTGGACCTTGGCTGAGGGGGTCGAGCGGGGGGGGAGCAAGAACAAATGCCTTTCGGAATTGGGATCGCGCCAGCACTCCACAAGGACGACAGCCGAAGCCTCAGCACTGCCTTTTTGGTGCCATTCCCCCCAGCTCAAAATAGACGCCTGGCTTGGTCTCAGAACTTGTCTTAACATGTCGAAGAACAGTGTCGATCGATTTCTACCAGATGTCAATGGGAGAGCAAGCGGGTCAGTGGCTTGGAGCCACTGTTGCGAAGCTGCAGGAGGACGGCTGCCGCCAGTGCGACCATGTCGAGCATGGCGATCAAGAGGAAAGACATCCGGAAGCAGTCAGCACCCACACAGATTGCCTTGCCTCCGGCCGCCCGCTGGTAGAAAGCCGGGAGCAACAGGAAGCTGATCGTGGAAGACAAAGCTTGGCTGGTCACCTGTGTTCCCCAAATCTTCCCGAAAGCAAGGCTGCCATACATGTCGTTGATCAGCGGGACCACTATCACAAAGAAGCATCCAAACGATAAACCTACCAGCAGCGCCCCCAGCATGATGCTGTGGATGTCCATGAAGCTCATCCACAAAAAGCCCACGACAGCGCCGGCCGTTGCGAAGATGAGCCAGTGCAAGCGGGTGAGGTAGTTGCTGTACTTGTCGCTTACGACGCCGACGAGACCCCGGGACAACGCCGAGGTGAGCGAGAAGAGCGCCACGCCAACGCTAGCAGCCCTGATGTGGCCTGCGCTCTCCATGACCAGGGCCATGTTCTGCATGATGACTAGGCCCCCCCCCGAAGAGTGCGAACTGAATCAGGAGAAGTAGCCAAAAATCCAGCCCCTGTGCTGCCACAAGAAAAGGCACCCCACGCACCTCACGCTTGGGCGAACTGGCTTCTTCTTTTAGAGCCAGGAGCTCTTCTGGGCTTGGAGACCCACCGACAGTCAACAAGATGCCCAGGGGAGCCATCTGCAGCGCTATGCCACAGTAGCCCATTGTCCGTGAAGGTTGTAAACTTCCTTCTGATAAATAAAAGCTGATCACCACATCATAGACGGCAAGTGCGGCGAGCATAGTGCCGAGAACAATGAGGCGGCTGTGGTCCCGGTAGTCAAACGGTTGCCGCGGCTCGCCGCGAGGAAGTACTTTGATTCCTGGCAGCGCAAGGAGGCCACTGCCAAAGCAGGACATGGCCAAGCATGCGAGATAGCTCGGCAGACCTGGCCCATTGGGCTTGTCGAACATGTTGTCCCAAACAAGTGCCCAAAGCCCAGTAGTTGTGGACACGGCTGCTTTGGCACACCCCACCACGGCACCACGGTTATGCGGGAAGGACTCCGAACATGCCATGCACACAGTGTTGTCCAGCAGGCACTCGCTGCCATATCCGGCCACAAAAGAGCCCAGCGAAGCAAGGGCAACTGTCAGTGTCGGGGACAGGACACCTCCCGCAACAGTCGTCAAGCCTATCACGGAGTAGCCGACGGTCATGAGACAGCTGCCTAACACCACCGCAGCTCTCGGGCCCATCGTATCGTAGACGGCGCCGCCCGCCGGGCCGGCAATCATGCCCATGACTGATGCAGCTCCGACCAAGGTCAAGCTCTTCATGGAGATGCCCAGGACATCGCGGAGCTCATCTTGCCAGGCGCCGATGCCGTATATGGAGCCCGAAAAGACCTGCACGAGGCAGCTCATCACAATCAGCCACCATCTTTCTGAAGTGAAACTCCCGACGAGGTCATGAGCCACCTTCACATGTTCGAGTCGATACATGAGGTAAGCACCCACTATGGAAACCAAGACTGCAAAGCTGGCAAATAGAACAGGTGACAACACCACATGGTTGGCCACGGCATGTCGGAATCTGCGGCTGTAGCTCAACTTCGCAGTTTCCGCCTTCAGCGCAAGAGGCGCCGATGCTGTGCTGTTCATGCGATTGACTCTGGAAGCGGCAGTCTGCACAAGGTGACTGGCCGGCAGCAAAGCTGTATTGGCAGTGCAATCCTCCATGCCGCAATCTCCCTCACCGTGAAGGGCATGTGCCGTGGATAGGAGCGGCACCAACGCCAGGAATGACGCCAGAGATGCCATCATTACTTCGTCTCAAAACGATACAAACCGCAAACGTTGCCCGGCGACGTTAACTGATGAATTTCCGCTTTTCGCACCAGAAAGCTTCGGCAAGATGAGTCCTCTCGAAAAAAGGATACGTTCACCTAAAGGCTACGAAGGCTTCGCCTATGACTATGGATTCTAGGACCTTCTAGGAATGTCGCGAAGGCCGGGCTTCTGACCTTTTTGGCTTGAGGTGCCTCCCTAAATAACCTCCGTGAAAGGCAGACACCTGAGCGTGACAAGGTCCTCCAAGCCTCGGAGGGTTTAGGGATTAGGGAAGTTTAGGCTTTAGGGTTTTCGGGTTCAGGGTTTGGTGGGTGGGGGGGAGGGTTTAGGGTTGCAAAACCTGCCTGAACCTGAACTCTAGACATCCCTAGGCTGTCCAAACCATAAACCGTGACAAAATCTGAGAGTTGGCGTTGGGGGATTTAAGTGGGGGATTTAGGGTTTAGGGCCGTTTAGGCTTGAGGGGTTGTTGAGGTCTTGAGGTTTCTGGCTTTTCGGACTCTGGTATTCTTGCGAGGAGGGGTGGGGTTTGAAGGAGAGGGTTGAGGGTTGCAAGTTTAAGGTTGCGGCTTTAGGGTTTAGGGTTGTCAACAAGAGCCCGCAGCTTATTGCCGACGACAGCCTGCAACCCATAGCTACAAACCCTAAACCCTGGATGTTCAATGTTGCGAGGAAAGGGCTCACATGATTCCACAAACCCCGAGCCCCAACCCCCCCCCCCCAAACCCCAAACCCTATACCCCGTATAATCAGAGGCGCCAGGGTCATCTTGCGGGCGTGGTCGACCAAGCCAAGGGCAGACTGCCAGATTCCGCCTGGGATGAAGCTTTAGGGAATTTAGGGTTTAGGGTTTTAGGGTTTAGGTTTTAGGGCGAGATGGGATTCGAGGGTTCTCTACTGGGGTTACGGAGTTTAGGGGGGGGTTAGGGTTCATGCGCCCTTCATGTTTGGGTCCTTGTTAACGCCTTATTTCCTTTGTACCTGCTGCTAAGGGCTTCTACTTTGGACTTTCGAGTCGGCAGCTTGCTGTAATAGCCACCCAAGGGCGATCAGCATGCTGTGGGCAGGAGTCAGCATCGCAAACTGAACAAGAAACTAAATCACATTGACTCACGAGCAACACGCTCAGAGCTTCTACCGGCTTCAGCTGCGCGCCAACCAGCAGAGACGTCACCACTGCAAAGACTTGTCCGACAAAGCTTGGAAAGCAGATTATGTGCAGAGGCTACCAGGTATACATCCGTCCATTTGGACAGCTGCACGGTTTTGTATACGGACACACAGTGAGGATCATTATGTTGTGGTACTGTGTCATCTCCCGAAATCGCCCCGTAGCCAGCAGATCTTGACAGTGCTCCTCCGGAAGTCGCGAGCTGCTGCGGCATCCAAGTAGACTGGTTCCTTGTGGGCAGGGCCATCTTAGACATTCAGCTGCTGCATGGAAGTCCAGGGTACTTAAGACCGTACCTAGACGCATATGGTCAGGCAGCTGGCATATGAACTCGAGACCTCTGTTGGTGTAAATTGTTACTCAGGGTGTAGCACTGACAGATCAGGTCGTGGAAACACACATTACTGCAGCCGGCCGATGGGGACGAATTTGATTCTCGCAGGTGCCGAGAGCAGACTTTCGAAGCTCGCTGCCGCCCGAAACCACAGATATGCTCACGTCTGGCGAAAATGCAAGGGACGCGGGTTCTTGTTGTGAATCCGAACTAGACAGCCCCAGTGTGGATGCTCAGCCAAATGATGCTTGGATTCATGCCCCCCAGTTCTGATGCTCTGATGCATGCCAGGTCCGATTCCGTAACGGAATAAACGGTACGGATGCTCAACCGCCTGTGTGGACGCAAAATCAGCTGATGTTCGTATGCATGCCAGGCCAACTTGCGAAATGAGAAGCCCCAGTGTGGACGTTCAGCGGGATGCCAGGTTCGGTTCTGAAATGCTTAGCCACAGTGTGGACACCAATCAAAGTGGACTTCCTAAGAGCTTGTGTAGTCTTCATGACGAGATGTAAAGGATCGCTCAGAATAGACCAATAAGACGTGGCATACCACAGGCCAGAGCCACTTTGTATGTCTGTATGTCTCAGCCTATGAGTCTGTATATGGGGCTATCAGATGGGAAAAATCACAGAAGTGCCGGTGGACACAATCCTGCATTGCCTGAGTGCCCGAGACGATGGGAGATGATGGGAGTGATGGTGCATTCCGTACTTTGGATACTGCAAGATCCTGTCCACGAACAGGAGGACGTGCAGGAAGTGGATTCTAGAGCTCGCATGTTCCGTAGAAGAGAACACCTTCTAGCAGCTAGCAAACAACTTAGACGTTCTGCAAGGCCCCAACCAGAAAAGACGTCACCACTGCAAAGACTTGTCCGGCTACTACTACTACTACTACTACTACTACTACTACTACCACCACCCGCGTTGGGGCCTTCCATGTGCTTTTTTCTCTATCTCGGGCGCACTCCGCGCTGCATCAGCAGTCTGGTTCAGACCACACCGCCACGGCCTTACATCCAGTTCCGTTCCGTGCATGAGGCTTACAATACTGAACTTGGAACCCTAGCAAAAAATGCAGCTCTCGGTGCTTCCTAGGGTTATAAAGGAAAACTTTACGTAACAGTCATTTCCTAAGTTCGGGTTTTTGAGGGTTTAGGGTTTATGGTTGGGGTGTGCTCTACGGAACAAAGGGGCCTCCGCACCCCGGAGTATGTGTTCGATTCATTTTCATGGCGACTACCTGAGTTGCTTCGGATCCAGGTCCTCTGGTTACAGCCACAAGGTTTAGGGTTTGAAGCTTAGGTGTGGCCGTATAAAGCCCCCAGTATACCCAAGGCTTGCATTTCCTAGCCTTTCTTGTTTAGGGTTTCTGTTTTGTTTTCGGGTACATCCAAACTCCGGAACTTGATCCCTAATCCCTGAACCCAAAGCCTAATCCCTAGGCTCAAAAACTTCTGATCCCTAAACCTTAACAGCCCTAACCTTTCCCCTATACCCTAAGCCCCAATCCAAACCCTAAACTTGGCCCTAAACACTAAAAGCCTAATAAGCCAATCCTTTAAAGCCAAAACGTTGGTCCAGAAGCTGTGAAGGCAGCCCACGCGAGCGTCTTCAAAGCAATCCGCACCGGCAGCCACCCCTGAGACTACTCCAAAACTCTTTAGTGTTTAGGGTTTGGGCATCAGAGAAGGGTTTAGGGATTAGGCTTTAGGGAGTATTTTTTTTTGAGGGCTCTGTTGATGTCTGCAGCGATGCGTCTTTCAAGCCCAGTCGGGCAGGCAGTTCGGCCACACTTAGGCCTGACGAACACTTTACCTCACAGTAGTTTTGTGGCATTCTCAGACCCCTCAGTTCAGCTTCCCACTCTGCCCATAGTTCACGTCACGTGTGTTCTTCACCATCGTCTATCCCTCCCTCTCGTGACTGTCGTTTGCCCCCTGCTCGTCCCGTGCTTGCCCTTCTTGTTGTGTCCCGTGGTGCTGGTCATCATGTGCTTCTGCTGCCATACGGTCCAACTCCATCTGTGCAAGCATCAAGTCCAACCTCGTTTCACCCCACATGGCAATGATGTACTCCCCTGACATTCGCCCCATCCGGTACTGTTCGAAGATCTCCATGTGGTTGTCGAAGCTGAGGTCGAACGGCATCGGGTCCAGGTACGGGTCGGTGTTCTGGGGTTGTTCCTCGGCCACATCCTTTGTCACCCTCACCGTCGATGCTTCAGAGTCCTCCTTCGTGTGTTGCCCCGCCGGGAGCGGTTCCACATTACCAACCACTCGAACTCCATGTGCAAGTAGTTCCCCTTCTTGCGACCATGGAACCGAAAGTCGGACCCGTTTTTCAACCCCAGCACCACCTTGTGGCGGCCCGAGGTGGATCTCCAGATGTTTGCGACGCCGAGGTGGACCAGTCGGGTGCATCTCGTCAAACATGGCCGCTTCCGCTTCCATGTGGTGCTGGACGGCCGCTTCCAACCCTCGTTGGTATCGTTCTTCTTCTGCCGCATGCCATAGCTCCTGTTGTTCCCGGTTGCTCGCTTCGGCCTCCTTAGTTTGCTTGTACTCGGTCTCTGCCATGGCCAGCGACTCCCCTTCCTCATGGCCCTGACTATCGACTGCGATAGTGCTCGCGGATCCCGAACTTGTCGTCGCTGCTGCGACCCCCATGTCCGTCAGGATGAGGCGCCACCACTCAGCGACCCACGCGTCCGTGTCTGTTAAGTCGTTGCAGGCAGTGTCCTCGTCGCTTCCCTGGGAAACCACTGTGAGGAGGGCATCCAGGCTCGCGAGGGTCTCGTGATAACCATGCTGAAGCCTGTGGTTTTGCGATCTTGTGCGGAGCCGCCTCACCTTGGTCTGCAGGGCGACGCCATCCAGCACCGCCGTCTCCAACTCCAGCTGTAGTGCCTGCAGGACCGGATGTCGGAGTTGGTCTTTGATCGGTGCCCTGTGTACCATGGCCGCCCGTTGCATGAGGTTGGCAGCGTCCTCGACCTCAACGTCCACCATATCTTCCCCTGCGCATGCAGGGTCATCACTGCGAGGTCATGCGTATCCAGGTCCCGCAAGGTGTCCACCATGTTATCAGCCATTTGGCACGGAAGCGCTGGGCGGCCTCTCTGGACCGCTCTGTCCCACGTTCCCATGCTCTCTTCCTCGGCGATGAAGAGGAGTTGGCGCCACATGTCAACCCCCTCTGGTTTCGTGAGTGCAGCAGGCGCCGCTGGGTCCACCGGCTCGCTCGCCCTTCGGGTAAAGCGCCTGCATCTTGCTTGCCGAGGTCGATCCCCACTTGATCCCGACGCTTCTTCAGGGCGCCTGTTGGGAACAGCGGCTTCCAGTACCCTGGTACTCGTTTTGATCCTGCTGGATCCGCCGCGGCTTTCGGTGTCGGCTCGCCATGGCCTCCTTTGGCTGGGGAGCTGTGGCCTTGAGCCTTGAGCTTGAGGGATTAGGGTTTAGGGGTTCAGGGATTAGGGTTTAGATTAGCGATCAGGGCTTTAGGATGCATGCTTGGTTTCGAGCCGGTTTAGGGGTTGAGGGGCTCAGGCTTTAGGGTTACTAGGCTCCCCAGTAACCCCTTCTGAAAAACAGGCGGCCTTTTTCCTAATGGTCAGTTTTAGAAAGGAACCCCAAAACAAAAAGGGAAAACGGGTACTACTGGGGTACCTAACTTACCTAGACCCAGAACTATGTAACAGGATCCTGGGGTCCGGTTTTAGGGTTTAGGGATTTTGGGCTGAGGGTTTATACCTGGACCCCCGAAACGCGTGGGTTGGTTCAATGGGTTTGGGGCTAATGTTTTCCAACTTTTGGGGTCCAGGTACGGCTGAGGGCTAAGCTGTCCATGCCTGGTGATCAGAAGCAAGTCGTAGTTGCAAGGTTTTTTGGGCTCAAGACTATTTATGAGTACCTCCCTACATAAAGCAATTAGGAAGGAAAGGCTTATCCCAAAACCTACTATCCAAACCCTACCCTATACCCTAAACCCTCAACCCCTCTACCCCTAAAACCCTACACCCTGAATCCCTAAGTAAGCTCTATACGCCTAAACGCCCACACCCCATGAAGACTATCGGTTTGGGAATTCAGGGTTTAGGGTTAGGGGTTAAGGGGTTTAGGTTTTCGGGGCTTAAGGTTTACAGGTCTTTCCGCTACCTAACCCTGCACCCAAGCCCGGAACCCTCTGATATCCTAACTTCTCTGATTGCAGAGGGCCTGAGAGTGCGAGGCTTTATGGACCCTGTAAACTGGAAGTTGTTTGGAGTTTGTTCATAGGACTACAATTAGCCCCCCCCCGATATGCACCCCCCAAACTAATACGCCGTAAGAAGGCAGAACAAGACCTAGTAGTCCCCAAAAACCCCTGGCAAGGTCTTTAATTTGTGGGGTCCAATATACTTGGGTGAGCCTAAACCCTAAAACCCTAAGCCCCCGCATAATTTATCCGATGCCGCTAGGCAGTCCTCAGACTTTAGGGCGCCTCGGGACAGGATCAGTAGCAATCCCTTCCCCAATATGAAAACCCCCAACCCCCTCAGATGAAATATTCCCTGTATGATATATTATAGTATATTGGTAGTTTTGATATTAGGGAGGTGGGGGGAGGGCTGTAAGATTAGGGGGAAGGGACTACATGTACCCAACCCCCTTCCCCTAGTAGTCACTCCCTAAAACATGAACATTCCCATCGTGCTAAATAACCCTAGACTATACTGTCACCCTTGAGGGCGCATGCAGACGTACCCATGAGTTCGAGATTGACCCTGTAACGAGCCCAAAAAGCAATCTGAAATTCACTGCCGCGAGCACCATACCTTTAACCTTAAAAAATCTTAAACCCTTAACCCTAAAAACCTTAAAACCCTAAACCCTTAACGCTTTCAAACCCTACCTGGAGCATCCCGCGTAGCTCCTTGTAGGATTTGTTTTCGGCTAGGATTCTCATCAAGATCCTATGGCGTAGGGGCTTAAGTGACTGCATAGGAGGGCCCTGAACCCTAAACCGTTTAGGGTTTAGGGTTTAGGGCTTAGCCTCAACCTTCAACCCTGAACCCTAAACCTACGACAGCCGCGCCTCAACCGTCTTTGATTCGAACTCGATCGACCATCCGAGCTTGCTGTGCTGGTCGGCATAGAGGTGATAAAGGTTGTTGTACATCACATCGTCCATGTTGTTCACAAATGTCAGCGCGACACAGTTCATGATCAGATCAACATTTGACGCTGAGGTTAGCACAAACTGCGAGCCAACTATGATGAGCCAAACTGCCACTGCTGCCTTCGGAAGGATGAAGACGAGCGTCAACAGTGCGCGACGGCATCTGCCACCAAACCTTGCATCGGTAGATACCCACACCACCATCAGCATGGTGCCCGAAGCTGATACTTCTTGGAGCATCTCCCCCACGAATGCACCAACGCCGATGTACTGCAGCAACACATCCGTAGATATATCTACATTGCACCTGTCGAAGCCCAGAACTGCCTTGCAGTCTCTTTGCAAGACATTTCGCTTTGTTGAGTGATGTCATGCCTTGTCAGTACCATCATTACTTTTACGATGATCATGATGATGATGATGAGGAGGATGATGATGGTGGTGATGATGATGCTGGTTGCCGTTGTTGCCATTATTATCATTACCATTCTTAGTGTTGGCGTTCTCGGTTGTTCATATACGCGCTAGGAAAAAGATGACATCATTACCTTTTTAGTAGTATTGATATTACTATTGTTGTCATTGTTTTCGTTTTTGTACTCTCTCCTCCTTCTTCGACATGCTGCAATTATTCTTGTTATGAGAACTCATCCCTGTTATCCTTGCCCTTCCTATTGTTATCAATACTATGATTTCGTTATCATTATTAGGGTAGGCATTATTATTATCAGTAGCAGTCGTCGTCGTAGTAGTAGTAGGAGTAGGAGTAGGAGTAGGAGTAGGAGTAGTAGTAGTAGTAGTAGTAGTAGTAGTAGTAGTTGTAGTAGTAAGATGTTGATGAATAAGGTTGTGACTGTTGTATAGAGCATCTACAT